TTTCTTTCTTTTCTATTATTGTATACGAATAGAGTGCCTCTAGCTGTTTAATGTTCAAATATCTTCGGCCTCCCCTTCAGTGTCTCTCATCTTCATATATATGGAGGGTTATATTTTACACGGTTAACAAATCTTCAGAGGAAGAGATGTGAGAATGAGAGTGACTCCTGCAAGGGGCATTAACCGAACACATTTTCTTTATAGAGATAAATCCTTGTACTTGATGGTATCAGAATGTCCTCTAAGTGTATACAGGTGAACGCGTTAACGTATATGGTCAAGGAATTATTAAGAAAATTCCACACATATAAATAATTTATGATTTGTTAAATAAGTTTCAGATTTTTTCTGTTTGAGAGATTTTTTTCAGTTTGTTTTGCAGTTTCCAACATTAATCTAAAAAATTCAAATGGTGGGCACCATCACAAAATTGCTTTAATTTGGTACCATTTTAGGCAATTTATCCAAATGTAACATTCCTGCTCCACTGGACAAACTCGCGGAAAAAAATACAAAATTATCACATTTCTACGTACACACGTATCTCGCGAATCAACAGGTTTCAGCAAATATGTTGCTTCGTACCATAATTCAAAAATAAGTTCTCTATGTTATGATTTGGTTACTAGAATTTAGCAGAGTTAATTTAACAAAAATAATTTATTGTACCCTTTCATTTGGTAACTATTTAAAATTATTTTGAAATATATCGAATAAATAAAATTAATCGTGGAATACGACACCATTTTTAAGTTATCGATTATTTTTGAATTCGTCATTTTAATTTATAACGTAAAATTCGAAAACTGCTGCCTACAAAATACTTGAACCATAACAAATATAATTTGAATGACAAAAAAATTACAAACATTCAAATTGAGATCTTAGCTGTCCAGGTGTTGCCGCGTTGAAGGCTGTGTTGCCTTCAACGCGGCATCACCTGGACAGTTAAGATCTCAACTCTGGCCGCGGAAGCCTATGACTTCACTAAACTTTCAGATTATTTGAAATATAATGCATTTTCTATTTAACGTACTCATATACAATTTTGTACTTTACCGTTTTAGAATACAACGACCTGAAAAATTCTCATCTATGTACTAAATTTACTGATACATTGTTATGCTATTGAATTTATTCCGCCCTTACTCCAGCTAAGAGGAAAGCACAATAGTAACATAAGTTCCTCGCTCAAATTACAAACAGTCTCAAATAAGATTGATAATTTAGACATGAAGTGCCTAGCGAAATTTACTTGCAGCAATAAATTTTCTTTAAGAGTACTTAATACTCCACATCTGGAGTCGACTATGACAATGGAGCAATGTTCCACAAATTCTGTAAGTAACCCTAAACAACCCTATCTCTGGCCCAGTAGAGAATGTTATGAACTTGAATAAGCAGAGGATTTTCTGGAAGAGAGTTAACACAATTTTTAGAAAAAGAACAGCAAGCGATACTATACAAGAAAATAGAAGACTACATCTGGACCTAACTCGCTTCAGATGAATCTAAAATGTTCCACGATTTCACTGTCGACCTAATTTCCATCCCAATCTTCGCAACTTCTTGAAACTTCGACGTTTCATTGCATTGATTTCGAACAATTGAAGGAAATGTGATTTAGGCTATTTGAAGTGTTTAAAATTTGGCGCGTAAATAATGTAAGTCGAGTAAATGTATAACGGAAAATATCCAACGTTTGTACCGAATGTGATAAAAATGTTTTTTCAATACTTTCTCCAGTTAGGTTTGATCAAAGAGGTTTATTGAAGTTAGTTAATTAAGAAATGGTAGTGCGTGTGGCACGTGGAAAAAACGTGTTCGTTTAAAACAAAACAAAACTGTGGATGAGTGAAGAAACGTCTGAAAGGTGAAATTTTTAATTACTTAAAACGTGGTTTCTGTTGCAGTTTAAATGATTTACTTTCAAGGTGATCTCCAATTCAGATTTGGTATTTAACTTAACATGTGTTTACTAATCAATATTCTTACGAGATGTTAAAATTTCCTATGTCAGTTTTCATTGCATGTTTGTAAGCTAATTAAATATGATTGAGCAATTTCGTCTTCCTTCAAAGTGTTTCAATATCGTTAATATCTCTCTAACAATACAAGCAACGGAGCACGTGCAAACATCGCAAAATTGTATATTTTATACCCTAAAAATATGAAATTGAAGCAAAGAAATTCGATATAAATCTGTTCCATTCTCGATTCTCTCTACTTCTCTTTCAGAGTTTTGGTTTTACAAACAAGTAAAACATTTATCATCGACCTATTTCATCAGTAGTATGGTGAATTTTTTTTAATGTTTTACGAATGAAAACATCCTTACGAAAGGTCCTCTGTTTCTCTGATTATCATTTGTTAGCAAGCTCACAGTGACACAACTCAAAAAAATAATATTTCAGAACATGAGAATTAGTATTAGTAATTGAAATATCAAAAATATACAAACATTTTCAGTTTTGTTATGATTACTGGTTTGCTTTCGTAATATAAATATATGTTATAAGTACGAGCAGATTTTGATGACCTAAAGCATTGCCAAAAATGATCAATAAACTGCTTTTATGTTTTTAAAATGCTTTTAAAATTTCCTAAACGCAAAGAAAAATTATACAAAATCTCATCAAAACCAATGCAGATGATTAACTCAAGCTATTGGATATGTTACAATATAATTGAGGCTTCTTTCTTTCAAGTAAACTCAGCTTGCATACTTTTATTTCGGACTGTTCTTTGCCAGAAAATCTCTGTCTTCAGTTATCCCGAAATCGGCCAAACAGATGGTGCTGATAGGCGTCACACAAACCTTAGATTACATACTCACAACGGCTGACATTACAATTACTCAGCGGAGAAATTAACTAGGCTACTCAGGAATTCTGTGGAGAACATTTTTTGCATCTCGTGAATATTATTTGAAGCAAGTGTCATTAAAATGATATTAAAATCAATTAAATCAGGGGAAATGCCTCACTAATGACGTTAAAGGCAAAAAATGACTTATTAGTCGAAATCGATGAAAAAGGCAAAACAAAAAGTCAAATAACAAATATCCATTCCCTTTTGTTATAACATAAAATTATTGTATGTACTAAAATGCATTTACCAGTAGTGGAATCAACAGATCTCACTCCAGTGCCTCTCACCGGGAGATTCTGGGGGTTGAGTTCCAATGGTGGGAGGATTTTCGACACTAACCAGACAGGTGGGTCGAGTTCTGTCGCTCTCTGGAGGAGAACTCTAGCGTCCGTCTACTCTGATCGGTAGTTTTCCGTGGTTTCTCTGGTTTCTTCGATCAGGGGAATGCCGGAGCTGTACCCTATCAAAATGGTCCATGGATCGCGCGCGATCTTTCCTTTTTCTTCCTCGTTATATCCTCACCCTTTACTTTCACACACTAACATGCCACTCATGCATAACTACACTGACACTACCACACATGCCAGGTGACCGGTCGGAAGCTTAGCTTGTCACGAATGGGGCGCTGTCTCGCAGGTGAGTGAAACCTGGTTGAGGAAAACCCCGCTAGCCGACAGTCGGCTCGGGATCTTAGCATTAGCGGGGCAAGATGACGGCCCGAGAAAAAAGCATGCACCACACTTACGGGTCTAATGACCTTATCAGTTGACGCACATAGAATCACTAATAATCAATCACTGAAAGTCATTGTTTTAAAGTGAAAAGGAGAAAATGACATTTAATTTAAATCCGCACCCTAGTTGCCCCCTAATGGCAAAAGTCTAGTTTTTGACACTTAGTTAACTCACGTTCAGTGCTTTTAAATTAAAAATCTATTTAATGCAATTTTATATTATTTAATTATGATTAAATATGATTTTATGGTTTGTTTGAATGTCTGCATTGGAATAACAAATGGTTCACTATTGCTGAAATAAATTAATCTATTTTGCCTTTATTTATAACGAATACTGACTACATTATTGGTCGCACAAATAAGCATATCTTACCAAAGTCAGAGAAACACTGAAAATGTGTAGTAGCTTGTAAACGAGATTTGTGAGATAGTGAGACGTGTGACTTCTCGCCTAACATATGTGAAATAACATTGGGTCAGTATTTTTGCAAGGAAGCACACAAATTCAAATTCAGGTTCAAGAATTGGTACTTTTTTACGATGTTCCACTATTGTCACCGGTGAGTGATATTTCCTATCCAGCCTGCGAATAAAATATTTATTTTGTGATATCATTTATCATACGCGTCTTACATTCCTTTGTCACAAATAAATACGTTCTCTGACAACATTATACCTCTCATCTTCGCTAACAAAGCCTCTTAACCCGGTACTCCACTCCTCGTGGTGGCTCTGTGTGGAAGGAAAACCTCTTCAGCGTGCTCTCCAACCGGGCATCGTCGAGGGCCTCAACAACCCTTCCAGTCCTCTCAACTTTCAATGTTTTACGATACACAAAGAGAGTGAAAACCCGTAGAAGACTGTAGAAACAGGCAGAAGCTGCACTGCTTGTGTATCTCTCTTGTACCTAATCTGAGATTACACGTATTTTACATAGTCTGATTTCCCTCAATATTACGGGCTTTAATCTCCCCCAACTGACAGCCTCGGTATTTTGACAATTCAGCAACTAAATCCCTCAATGGTAGCGGACGCGAAAAGTTCGTAATTTAGGTAATTTAGACACACAAATTTAGAAAAGAGCCAGATTCGTACATCTATTTTATGCCGAGGAGATGGATTTTGTATTTGCAACATGAAATTAGCCAAATTTACTTTCATTTCTTCGAATGAGTAAAATTCTACTATACATTTTTGGGTTTATATGATCATTGGTTGAAGAAACTTAGATCTCAGATCGGCTCATCCAAATTAATTCGCAATGGTAAATCACATATTCATCACGATCATATTCATGTCATGGACGTGGTAAAGAGCCAAAATAACCAAGCAGTGAATGTAAATATGAAGGAGATGTGATTTACTGAACAAAAGCTCATTTCCGGGGAGCTAAGAACAAATAATAATAATAATAATAATAATAATAATAATAATAATAATAATAATAATTAACAAGAAATTCGAATCATGGAATCACTCTCGAAGTTCTAAACACATGCCCTACGTGGTAAGAACACTCACTAAAATCGGTGGACTTTATACAATATTGTACGACCAATAATTTCAAATGGATCGCACTAAGGATGCAAACGAATCGGTCATGGTTATCCGGAATTTGGAGAAAAAATCATGTCTGCTTGTAGATGTTGCTGTGCTGATCAAAATGTTGAAACCAAGGCGGTAGAGAAACGTCATAAATAAAAGAGTTCAGCCAAAAGTGGGGCGCAAAAGCACAGGTCGTATCGATAGTCATCGGAGCTCTTGGATTTGTTCCGCATAATTTGTGTAATAACTTGGGTAACCTTCCAAGTCGTTCAAAAGGCAGGGTAGTGCAAGAAATTGCTTTATCTGCTCCTTTGGTAGCTAGTTGCAACCTAGAGTAGATTTTATATTCAGCTGACTCATAATATCTTTAGTCGTGATGTAGAGGAATAATAATATTATAATAGTAATAGTAATAGAAATATTAATAATAACAATAAACATTATTGATGATATGAGTTTCTAGAATCTGAATTTGCAATAAGACACCCACAATATTGGACCAGGATTTTAGTGGAAAGGAACTTGATACCAGACTGCCAGAAGTTTAAACTATGTTCAAGGGGGATAAATCTTATGAATGGCAACAATTTAATACCCCGTAATAAGGCATTTGATATTTTTCACAAAGCTTCGTACAGAGTAGAGGGGGGACGTTGGCATAAAGGGGATGGACCAAACGTAGATGCTGGATACTAAGATAGAAAGTCAAATGAACGTAAAAAGCAAATAACGAATTCTAGAACGAAATGAAACATTAGAGTGTTAGTGAAAACAGGAAGAGCAAACAAGAATTACAGGTAATAAAATCAAGGGCTTGGGAAAATGTGAAGAGGTAATAGGATAACGAAAAATGCGAAGGGGAAACAAGAATCCGATGAAAATATAAAGCGATGGGGGGAAATCCAAAAAAATAAAGGGATACAAAAACTGTAGGGCAAATAGTATAGGAATGAAATAGCGAATTGTTATAAATAACGGCGAACTCTGAAGGGCTAAGAAATAGCGAATGAGACCATTCAATATGATAAATAGAAAGAAAGCAACTAGAAAATCGCATCCTGCGATTGGCAACCGAGTATAGCTATCATCATGATCATCATAATCGGAGGAATGTGGGGGGAAAAGACTAGGCCCGTCATGTCAAGGTCTCCTACCGGTGGCAGTGCAACGCTTCCTAGCACCGTGGGATGCTACGAGGTTCTCAGCGCTACTAACGTCGGGAAAGCAATCTTTCAGCAGTAAACCTGCCTTCAGAAAGCAGTGTAATAGAATTTTACAGCGCACTCGATAAATCACAGCTTCCAATCTTAACAGATAATGCTAATAGACTATTTATGTGTGGTAGCAAATATGTCTGTGAACAAGCATTTTCAATAATGAAATTGCTCAGAACAGACGCGGGGTTCGATTAAATATTGAAAATTTGAGAAATAGCTTACGAATTTGTCTCTCGAGATCTCGAGATCCTGACATTACAAACGTGGAATCAAATGCAAATAAGAAGATATGCACAGAAAAATCAAAATCAAAATGAAAATACAAATAAAAATAACAACGCAAGTTTCTAAATTTATTTATGTAAATCCCGTCTAAACGATTTTCATGTGCAATGCGTAAAAACGTTCAGGGTGACTGCCTATTGCTCTCTTGTGGCGACGTGATCAACTGCGTGGGGAGATGATTCCGTCGTGCTACCCGTGGCACGCATTCCCGCCCGTGACATCGACCTTGGCATGACATCTCTGTACTAGGGTTTGCAAAGCACAGGGGGCAAAGGATCGTGTCGCTTGCGCAGGTGCAGCCTTTCGGTTTGGCGGCGTTGGCAGAGGTGCCGTCGCAGCTGCTGCTGGGTGAAGACCCCATGCTGGGGTCCAGCCCGACCGACAGCAAGCCGCGCATCAAGTACGAGTTCAGCGCCGAGGGGGCGGCGGCGGCGGGCGTCGCGAGCGCGGACGCGGCCACCACGGCCAGCGGCCTCCGCGTTGAGGGCATCAAGGTGGAGCCCGGCACGCTCAGCTGCGGCGGTGGCGCCGGCGGCGGCGGCGCCGGCGGGGGCGGAGGCGGCGGGGGCGGCGCGGGACCGGGCAGCGCCAAGGTGAAGGCGGAGCCGGCAGATCCCCCGGAGGAGTCCTACCTGCTCGACTGCGAGAACATCCACATCAAGACGGAGGTGGTGGACGAGGTAGGTGGCTGCGGAGGGGGCTCCGCTTGCAATATGCATGCGTCACACGACTATTCGATTCATCAGGATGTACTTACTACTTAGGTCGTTGCTCCCGTGAGTGTAGTGAATATTAATGCCGGGCGGTGGCAAGGTCCCCCCTTTCGCTAGAACGTGAGAACCAGCGACGACTTGCAAAATGTGATGTGTCTCTCTGCAGGTATCTCCCCCAGCGGGAAACTACTCTAGCCAGGACTTGCTCTAAGCTCCCAGGTGGCCTCTTGACATCTATGGTAGTGTCGTGCAAGTCTATGTGTAAGGGGAATGTAGAGAACAACGATGAGGAAGGGAAGATCGCACGCGGTCGATATTGGAAATGTGATGGATTCTTGAATTGACTTTTGCTTCCAATTCAACGCGGGACAGAGGATCTCATCTAAAAAATATCAAAAATAAAATGGATTTCCGGTTTACGGAATGAAAGATAATAGTACATGAAATATTTCAGGTGGAAAATCACACCAAATCACCTAATATTATTAGCAGTAAATAATTCCATGCGTTCTGACCTCAAAAGAAAAGATACCTGTAGAAATTGTTTTTTGTATTTTCTCAAGTTCGCCAACAACTGTATATCTCAAGAGCTTTGTACATTAAAGGAAGATTAAGAATCGGGACGTCATTTGCCTACTTTGCGAACAGCGAGAACACTCCAATTCTGACGGCCGGCTACTGAGGCGTGATCGGAGGCTCATTTTAAACACAATCTTCTGGACGATGTACAAGAAGGAAAATTGTCAAGAAACTGTTGGGCAGAATGAAGCGTTTCTCAGCAAATGACAAGAGAAATTCGTACATCTCAGTGAACAGAAACGAACAGAACAGAACGGTGGTGTGCTTGTTCACCTGAAAACACTTATCCTGTTTATGTTATATGTTTTTTAGTGCGTATTCTGTCAGTTTTTGCTGAACATGAGATAACTAGAGCCATTGATTTTTCGTGTCCCCAGGCGCTGACGGTGCGGCCCGCGCGTCGCGCGCTCTGCCTCGTGCTGCCGGCGCAGGACGTGTCCGCGCAGCCCTCCAACGCCTCCGCCGCCTACTCGCAGCCCTGCGACACCTTTCGCACGCACGAGGAGGTGCAGATCGTGATGACGGAGCTCAAGGAAGACAGCGACGAGGACGTGTTCCTCAGCAACGTGAGGTACGCCCATCCCCCGCCACATCCCTAACAACCGGTCCAATGCGAGACGCGTCGCGCGAGCGGCGCGGTTTTTCGGTTTCGCAGGGCCCGGCGACGGAGGGTGGGATGATCGGGGCCCCAATATGTGTTTTTACACGAATAAAATTTTCAAATATTTTGATTATATCATTATAAAATCATTCGAGGGCTCTTGGACAACTTTATTGTTTTTAAATTACATGAACAGTCCTAATTTTATTATAAAAAATATTCGCATTACTAAAAACAAAAAGAAATACTAACACTTGGGAGAGAGGGGGCTCAGAAGCGTGGACCCGGGGCCGCGGGCTCGGGCCAAGCTTTAGACCGGCACGGTCGGGGTGTGGCTGCCCTTCTATAGGCGTTGGCTCTTGTCTTCGCTGCTCGGGGAACTCTTTTGCATACAGCCCCACATCTCCATCCTACTTTCCGAGGTTGGCGATCGAATCTAACGTGGTGAACTCTCACCACAATAACAATTTCCTCCACCCTTCTCACATTATGACCTCTAATCATTATTACTGATATCCAATACGCGAAAAAACTGAATGAAAACAATGCAGACACCTGACATGTACAAGAAAGGCGCCAATGGTTTCGTTATATGTTTCCAAGAACTAGAGAAAAATCCCAAAACAATGAATCAGTTTCGATTTTTTTTTTTTTTTTTTTTTGTGAAAACTCCAATTTTATTATGTTAATCCGCTATGCTTCCCGACTGAATTCTGATACTCAGTGTGGCACAACTGACGACATGCGACAGCAATGTTTCACTGTAAAGGCCGCTCACAATAAAATATTTGCTAATCTCATGTTGCGTTATAAAACCTCCTTTTTTGATTTTGTGTTATATGAATAGAAAGAACTGTTGTACTGCATATGCATATATACTATACTATGTTTTCGCTTTACTCGTCACGATTGTTTTTGTTCAAATGTTTAATTTATTGTAGTGTTATGCGAGTGTACTTTATTTGTTGTTCGTTGTTTGTTTAAAACAACAGATAATACGAAAAGCATTGATAAAAAAGTCAAGAAATTTAAAACTGATCAGACGCTTCCGTTTCAACAAGCAACCGGACACAAATTTGTTCCTGGTCTCTCCCTCTCTGCGAGCGGATGGGCGTATCACAAGTTGTGACTTGTCGCCACACGAAAGCTAAGCAATCAAAATCAGCGTTGTCGTTCAATAAAATGGAATGATGCGATGTTCGATTAAATAATAGTTGCAATAAACAAATCGGTGACAGGTGGACGAATTTTTTTAATTTTAACCTGATTAACGGTATATAAACTTTCCAAAATACTAGAAAATACCTTCCGTATTTATAAAATCAGAAAATTATATAATAGAATTATTGATTGTGCAGTGCTAAATAAATGATCTAAATAGTAGAGGACTGAGGACAACTCTCAAAAATACATTCCTTTTTGGATTTTTTCCAGTGAATGTTTCTTATTGTTCAGTGCAAATGGTTGACCTCAAGTCAGTTTCAAAATCTACCTTCAGATCATTGTCGGTCAATAAGCTTCTCAGCAACGAGAAAAGTTCTTCATCAAATCATGGGCGGATCGAGAAAGTATTCCGAGAAAGGAGGTAATATCAGTTTCTTCTACACAGAATATTTTTAATTTTCTAAAACAAAATAGTTTGAAATTAACAATTGGGAACGAGTATATTCATAATGGGAATCTTCAATCTATATAGGGCAATTATTTCCAATAATTTGAGTAAAATTACAAAACAAATGTTGGCTTGGAGGTGGTGCATGAGATTCGCCAATGAGTGAAGCAGACAGATATGAAAATGTATTGGCCAACACAAACTAAAAAATCTAGTTGCATGCAGGATAAAGCTTCGGAAAGAATTGGGGAATATTTTTTCAAGAATTCACATACATTCCGTCTTGTTAGATATTTGTTTTTTAATTCAGTATCGCATTGTAAGTCTATGGTTTCCTGTATAACCACTCTTGGTCCTGAAAATCTTTACTTTGCCTCGCCCGCCCTCCCTTGGACCATAGTCACTGATTGGTTAATTGATGTTTCCGGGCACGTAAATTACTATGCTCATTAGTCCCGTTAGTGCAGTGAATGTTTTCATGCCAAGAGGTGTCGGTGTTTCTTCCCCACTTTAACGAATTCATTCAACGTCGCGTTACAGGAGCTTTTTTTTTAATATTCACCGACTACGTAAACCCAACTCAACGCAGGTGCCGCAACGCTCAAACGATTGTTCAGACTTAAAAAGTTGATGATCAATGATTTTTATTTGCTTTCGCAGGGCACATGATTTTTCCGCTTTATTATATGAGTACGAGTTTCACACAGAAGGACAACATCGTATATATTTTCCAATTTTTCAAATCAGTCTTCTTTTTTGGATTGGAATAAATTTTCAATATTTAAAACGTTTTTCCAGGAGTAGACAACATCCTAATTGTCATTGAAGGTTATCAATAAACTCATAAATACATATAGCCAACACAACTTTTATTTTCAGAGACACTAAAAGATGATTTTACCCTTTGTTTTCTTGTGGACAGTAAATGTACATTTATCCGCACTTTCTCCTTATCACACTCAGACTTAATATCCTTTTAATCGCAGCGGGGCGCCGAGCGCGGGCGGCGTCGGCGGCGGCGGTGGCGGTGCAGGCGCGGGGGCGGGCGGCGCGGGAGCAGCAGGTCTGCGCGCCGAGCCGTCGCCCACGTGCTTCGCGTCGCGGCTGCGCGGCTCGGCGCTGCGCAAGGAGCTGGCGCGCTACACGCCGCCGCCCATGTTGGACCCGCGGCGCAGGGGCACGGGCCTCTTCTGGACGCAACGCCGGCTGGACGGCCGCGTGCACTCCCGCTCGCCCTCCCCGCCCGCGGCGACGGCTCAGGTGGCGGCGGCCGCGGCGGCGCGCGCAGGTGAGCGGCTGTTCTGCTCGATACGAGGTGAGAGCACCGCAGGGAATGAAGAAACTGCTTGCCTTTGCACACCCCGTCTCTCTTTTTCTCTTCTCTTCTCTTCTCTACTATTTCGTTTTCTGGCTTTACTACGTACTAACAGACTAATGAGAAAGTATTATAATGCTACGGCGGATTCATTTATTATTTCGTGATTCTGGGACCGTCAACTGCTATGGTACGGTACGTGTAGTGCATGTTTTTATGACATAGTGTTTGTTTTCCCCCGTTGAATAGTGTGGTCGGGTGCAAACCTACACGTCGGCTTGCGGGGTTTTCCCCAACCAGGAATCTCCCACCAGCAGGGCACCGCCCCAGCGGAGACAAGCTCTAATCTCCCGACTAGTCTGCGGACATATGTGGTAGAGTAGCGCGTGGAAGTGGTTCTGATAGGGCAATGAAGGAAGGATTACGCGCGTTCAATGGCCCCGTTTTGTTTGGTACTGCTCCAAGATTGCTCTAGTGTTGATAAGAGAAACCATGGAAAACCAGTAATGAGAGCATCCGACTGCTAGGATTCTTCTCCAGACAGCGGCTTAATTCGACCTAGTCGTCTAGCTAGTGTCGAAAATACTGCTACTGACAGAATTCGAAACATTGAACTTCCCGGTAAAAGGTTTTGCAGTGATTTTTCGGCAGCAAACTTCGTTTTGTCGAGCCCCGGCTACGAATTAGCGCACCTCTACTATCTCCAATTATTTTAAACTTTACCAATTTTACAAAATTTCAGAATATTCAACAAAACGTATCTCTGCATCATTTTTAACTGCTGTATACTCTATCGGAGGAAGAATTTAAAGAAAACATTTGAAGCTATTTTTGCGAAAGAATTATAGTATAAATTGCATTAATTTCGAAGCAGAAATTACACGAAAACCACTTGTTTTGTTTTTTGTTGTATTTTTCAAAAAAAATATTGTTCATGTCCTTTTTTAAAAATCTATTTTTTTAACAGATTTCATTTTAGAAAAAATGTATCTCTCATCGATATTGTATTTCCGCAATATTCATTTTTGCAATTTTCAAACGTGCCAAGAGTTCGCAGAAAATGGAGACAGTACCATTTTTTTCGTCATATAAGACAATTCTTACAAAAACACAATTAAAAGAAAAAAATGTGGAGTCTTTTTGACAAAATAGTTCTTTATAAATCGACTATATTTCATGCAAAATTGCGAGGGGAGGGAAACTAATCATATTTTCTAAAAATTGTCCATGAGCTTATTTCAAGTTCAGCCAGCCAATTTCATTAAGAAATAAATACCTACCTTCAATATTGTAGTTGCAGAAATGCGCCGAAAAAACGTTCGTAATTCTATTTTCAAAGATTTCAACGAAAATGAAAAATATGGTGTAGTAGTATGGTGTCGTAGCACACTAGTTTCTTCTTGGGTCCTCTACTTGCCTCTTACTAGTCCTGCCTCTAGCCTCCCCTCCTCATTTTCCTCCAGCATTCTTTCATTTCCTTTCAACCTTCTCTCCTCATTTTCTTCCAGCCCCCTCCTCATTTTCTTGAAGTCACCTCTTTTTTCTCCTGTTCCCTCTTCACTTCTCATTCTTCTCGTCTTCTTTCTCCTCTCGTTTCATTTTTTTCCTGTCTCCTCTCCACTCCTCCGTTCCCTCCTATCTCCTCTCACCTCCTGTTTTTTCCTCCGGCCTTGTCTACACTCCTCTGTTTCGTCATGTCCCGTTTCTAATTGTCTTTTTTCCTCCTATTTCTTCTCTACTCCACGTTTTCATTCTATTTTTCTCAACTCATGTTTATGCAGTCTCTTCTCACTCTTCATTTTCCTCCTGTTGCCTCTCTAATCCTCTTTTAACTTTCTCGCCTTACGAGAAAGTATTGTAAAGCTGCGGCGGAAATTTTTAAAATGGAAAATCTTGTAATGTCGAGTCCTTGTAATGAAGCTAGTGATGCTACAACAGAACATTTTCTCACGATATTTATCACATTTTCAATTTTCAAAAATTCAACTAGATCAACGAAAATGATATCTCGGCTATTTTTTAAGTGTTCTTTGTATAGTAATGTTTGGCTTTTGTATAATATCGGTCAAATAATGCGAGAGACAAGTAGTTTTTTAAGCGTCGGGAATGTTGTGTTTAGTACTGGTGGTGTATGGGTAACGTGTCTGGCGTGTTAACTCGAAGAACCTGAGTTCGAAGCTCGACGAGGAAAAAATGATATGCTAGTAGGAAACAGTTTTGCATGATCATGTAGTAGTGTAATATTGCGCAGCCGTAACACATAATGCGAAAAGGTATGTGCTGCTCCAGCACTACTCGTTTATCATAAGGCAAAAGGTCAATTTTGACATTTTCGATTTTTTTTATCGCAATTCGTTTTCTGCTAGGATAAAAGGAACAACGGAAAGCTTCTCGGAAGAGAAAGGCGAAAGGGGTGGGGATGTGAAAGGGTGAGAGAGAAAAGCGATGGGAAATATCAAGGTACCTAGAATAAGAGGTAGAGCGAAATGGAAGGATGCGCAATGACGTCGAGAAAAACTCGCCTTCGCACCCATGCAGCTGCTTGAAGACAACGTCAAATAACGCTAAATATTCTAATATACAGAAGAATATTTATAAATGCTTACTCATAATAATGAACAATAATAATATCGTAAATCTGTTATCTAGTTTTCTGAAAGGAGCTTTTTAAAGAGAATGATAACCCAACCATAAATATTTCTAATAACGCTCTGCAGGTATTTAAAAATATATTTGAGATGTAACAGGCTCTTATGATTTAACTTTGTCTTAACTCGATACTTGGAAAGTAGGATATCACATTACATTTTATGGAATTCAATCACCCCCTAGTTAATCCAGAAAAAATTCAAATAAGAAAAGAAGAAAATAAACATATACCTTAACTTTTTTTAAACAGAAGAAAATGAAGCCTGCCTTTTATTGCCTTTCGGTTGTGAAGTTCAGACAGATCTTGCTTTGGCTTCAATTTTTAAATGTAAATAATGCAAAATGTTGTAAATAATGTAAAATGTTGTAATATAAATATCCTTGACCTGACGTATAACTTTATCACTTACAGATTCAAAGATGAAAATTTTTGTGAACAGTTTTTCCAGTCTCCGTACATTACGGTCTTTGCTATGCTGTCCACTGAATTGTGAAAACATAAAGACAATATTTTTATTGTATTTAACAAACTATTTGTTGAGATACTTAAACGAGAGACGATTGTTCTACCAAAACCCGAATGAGGAGAAACTATCTCCATTTGCTCCTTATCTATGCCAAGAGAACAATCATATGATTTACAACGTTGAGCATAGACCATTTGTACGTTCCGAAGTGGATTCCGATGGACATGATACGGGAACATTGGTGTTCTGCCTCCGAGTCATCTATATCACATTCAGTGCTTCTTCCACATTGGGAATTAACCCGTTAAACAAGTAGGTTGTGAGGTATGCATTAACATCTTAGTTAACAAACATAGAACAAGCACAATTCAATGTTATATTTGTAACGTTTCTGCTCATTGTAACAAGGCGTAAGCGACTTTTGAATTCAACAGGATGATCGTATGATCGCCCTATTGCTCTTATCTGAGAAAACAAATTTGCCAGGCAGCCTTGATTAAATCGAGATGTCAGGATGTATTTGATGTTGCAATTGCTTTGAAGTTCATTGTGACAAGAAATCAGAGAACAAATTGTAATTATGAATCCATTTTGGAATGCAAGTAAGGTGTTTCTTTTACTAAACTGCATAGTCTCACAAACTCCAAAAAATGTTTTCAGTAATTGTTCTTGAGCTTGCATTCCAAAATAGAGACTGCATATATTGATATGTTGTGCATTAAATGAACCTGCGAGTTTACAAACACGAATCCATTTTCTTATCAGAATAGGATCATGCGGAAACGAATGGTGCTCTCCATCGCTTCCTTTAGGATTTTGACTGTAGTTTTCACATATTGACAATGCAGTATGTTCGTAGAACATAATAAAATTAGTTCCACAACCTAATGTAATCTAACCTCAACTAGTAAACATAAACACACACTCCAAAACACCATATTTTTCACCGACACTAAAAAACTTTAAGTTAATGTATCCCGATCACGATAATGTATATTTTCGACAGTATCAATACTTCACTAAACATTGCCAAACCGCAAATAACAAACACGCAACAGTATTTCCCATGACAAGTTGCCTTAACTTTCTCGACTGTGACGTCACGCGCAGGACGACCAAAATGTATTCCACTGCGCAGCCGAATGAGCACCCCCTGGGAAATATGGTGAGAAAGGAACGCAGAGGGAGAGCGACGGCCTAAGAGAGTGGGGAAAGGAAGAGCGAGAGGAATAATGTTCACAATACTCGAACTTTCTGAGGCATGCTTGCATGTGATTGATTGAATCACAATGTTCCAAGAGCTTTCTTTTATGTGATTGGTTGAATTCAAATCTCTTTGAAATATTCTGGCTCAGTGTATAACATCGGATTTATCGCTTGAGCTTTCCAGTATTTTCTTCTCCCTGAAGTACATGCAAGATGGAAGGTATGTTGTAAACATTTTTAATGTTTTAAAATTTTAGAAATGTTCGCAAACACTCTGTTTTTTTAACAAACTTAATTCTTTTGTACAAGACATTGGTTAGAGCTGATTATGAAAACCTGTGATTTTGATTATTTCTTGGATATGAAATATCACCTTGTTTATTCATTTACATTTATTAGAATGAGGAATTGATGTTGAAGAATTTTGTAAAGTTTTCGAAACATTAGTTTTCTGGAAAATTAGGGATAGTATTGATGTAAGAGGAATGATTCGGAGGTGACTGCGTGTTGATGGAATTTTACCGATCCGCAGCGACTTAAGGTTAGACTTTCTGAAAAACAATAAGCATTTCTTTTAGCAC